GGTTCACCACTTGGAGTACGCTGAGGGAGGGATCCTGGACATGGACGACCTGCTGACTGATCTGGTGGAGGACAGAGACAAGGTGAGGAAGAGAGGGGTTTCATTTTTAATCCAGTTCTCACGTAGCCCTGGAAACATCTGACTGACAGCCGTTTTTCATGGCCGGACAGCTCGGCATAACAAAATGAGCCTCTGGAAAAATATCGAGCTGTATATATTGTTCTTATCTGTTGTGAGGGACAGTAAATGACTGCAGAGAATTCTTTTTATTCCGAGCCACGCTCCCCTGTTTTGCAGATGATTTATTTGTACTTGCTCCAAACATCTCCATTCTGGCAGGATGACAGCTTGTCCATTAAGAAAGAGTCTTGTGCGTTCAAACCTCAGTTAGTTTGTGAGTGTCGCTCAGGGCTTGAACTCAGCTAAAAGCAAAATGGCATATTTCATGCTCGAAATAAAAATGCTTCTTTTTGCAGTCATTTTTGTTATGCTGCAACACCATTGGGTCCTTTAAAATAGGACAGAAATTTAGATTCACTACAAATCTGAGCAGGTTTTGTGCAGATGAGTTTTCCAAACCTCATTTTTCAGCATGTGCACAGACAGCAGCCCAATTTTAGGGGAAAAGTACATTTCATTCCCCTTGCTAATTTGCCATAATGCATTCCTAAGATGTGCTAATAAACTGCCCAGAATCCATATTCATAAGCCTGGGTGCAGACGAATGATGAATTACCAACACTTCGTCAGCAGGAAGGCCAAATGAAATGGAAATGGAATATTCAGCAGATCCCGTGCCACAGTAATAACTTGTGTTTTAGGCTGTGCGAGCTCCCACCTGGCATTGTATGCATGCAGGATTGCAGGAGACTGACAAAATACTCTGTTGAGAAGAACAGAACTGAATAATAGATGTTTAAAATCAGTGTGACTCTTCAATTGAGAGGTAAGTGTATTTTCAGTCACAGAGAACAGAGGCCACATTTCCAGGGATGACGGATTTATGGTCGTAGGATTTACGCCTTATTTGTGCGTAAGAGGGTGATTCCTGGTTTTTAATGACTCATTTTCCAGCCAGAGCTTGCCTCATTCCAGAGTGATGATGAAGTGTCAAACTTGAACCTCCTCCTGGCATTTGATCAAAGCGTCTCACAGCCTCACGTTCAGGAGACGTCGGCGCTCCTTTTCTCGCCGTGGCGCTTTTGTTTTGGTGATTACAGGCTCTGCTGAGCAAAAGCTTCACTCCAACCTCCACCATTCAGGAACTGTCCTTTTGATTTTCTGATTTTTATTTATTTATTTTCACTCTTGCACCTTTCATCCAATTCTCTGAGCCCCCCGCCCCCCCTCCTCATTTTAGCCTTTTGTTTTAGCTGCTGATGAAATGATAGCGGGCAGAATGGGATGAGCGCGCATGAACTTCACCACGTGCCAGTCGCTCGACTTATCTCCAGGCTTCCAAACGGTGTCGACGCCTCATGGATTAATGAGCTGCGCCTGGCATCCTTGATTAGTCCGGCTTCCTTTTGTTTGTCTACGTTTTTATTACCTTGCCTCAGCCGGCAGATTATATCTTTAGCGATATTTTTCTGCAATGTTATTGTGGCCAGTGCTGTTCCACCATCAATCATAAAGGAGTGGTGCTATTGTGAGGGCCCTCCAGCGCACAGCGTGGGCCCTCTGTTAGCCATGGATGCTAATGAGAGATAATGGTGAGCTATTTGTACGCCTAGTGGTTAGTTTAGCCGTGAGACCAGACCTCTTTGTCTGGGCCAGCCTCTGACTATTATTCAACGCGCACGCACTCGGAGGCTGGTTCTCGCACAAATAACAGCTGTCCCCGGTGTCTGTGCGGAGGCAGAGGCGGGCGCGGCGCGTGGCGTGTTGGTGTGTACGGAGGGAGCGCTGCTGGTGGTTGATGAGGGCGGAGATGAGGGGCCGGCTGTGATTTGATTACTGCTCTGCCCTCCTGCATCCGCGCGCTGGCACACACACCAACATGCTCTCACGTTGTTTGTTCGCCCCGCGTTTTGAATTACAGACCACCAGCCTCCTCATGAATATTAATGTCAATCTGACCAGAGTGGGTAAGGCCAAGGGTTGTTGGTTTTAGTGTGGCCACACATGTACAAAAGGCATATAAAGTGACCATTCCAGGTCACGCTGGAGTCTGCCACGCTGGCCTCCTGTTTGATGGCTAACTGTGGGGCTGTAGTGTGTGTTTGCGTGACCCAGAAAGAGTTTGACTGGTTGACGTGCAATCAAAAGCAAATATTTCCATCACTTTTTTCCAACATTTTTTTTCATATCGTACAATACAACATTTGGGCGATATTAATGAGTCCAGGTTAAAGTGTGGACTTGATAAGCTTTTGCTTTAGTTTCATGTTTTGGCCCTTACAGTTGGGTTCTTAACACCAGATCTTCAGTTAATCACCCACTGAGATAATGCTGTTTTTTAAAGATAATCTTGAAAGTTTTGCACAACACTTTTTGGTTGTATAGCATTACCCAAATGTGTTGGGCTCTTGCGTCCTGTCCTTTACCTCCCTTTTAGCTCCTTCTTTACCTTCATGTGTCCTCCCTCTTTACATTCAGAATTCTTTTGAGTCTTTCATTTGTTCCAGCCTTTACTCTCATTTGTGTCCATGATGCACAAAAGCTTTCAGGGAAATGCTTCAGTGCCACTGCACACCACCAGCCTTATTTGGGTCGACACCACTGAAGATTCCAGTGCTGTCTTCTGTAAATAATACACGGTTCAGATGTGGAGCTCTCTTTCTAATTTCTACTCTGCTGTGCTTAAGACTGAAACTCTGCTTTCTTACATACCAGGAAACTATAAATATGCACATGGATTTTTTTTTTTAAACAGTTCAGGAAAAGTTACAAGACTTGTGTGAGTGTATGAGGATAGTTACTGCTGTGTGCAACGCTTTCTATGAAAAGAAATTAAGCCATTGTCAATCAGATTAATTTCAGATGATACTTCATGGTGACTATTACGAGTATTGTCATCAAACACAAAAATGGCCAATAGAATTTAGATGAATTCAGTTCCTTTGATTTGTATCCCATCCCTTATAATGATTATGTATTAAAACTATGTTTAATTTATTCTTTTTAATAGAAAAATAATAATTTGCAGTTGCTATTAATGTATAGTTTTGGGGGGGTTTTTTCCAGCCACACTTATGTGTCCTTTTTTGTGACACAACGCAGTTCCATCCCTTGAGTTTGGGGCCTAAGTTCTGGCTAACTCTTGTTCTGGCTTTTGCGATGCAAAATGTCAAGAAATGAAAGACGACTCAAGGCTGTTGTACTGTAAGAAGACACATGCTCCTGTTTGAGGGATTAGGTTTTCTGGTGAACATTGTGCTGTGTATCTGACACAAATGAAACCCTGTAAAGAGCCTTCTTGATTAGAAAGCCACCTCTCATCAGTCTTCTACTTCACAGTCCTGGAGTTCAAATTTGAATGTTCTACATGTATGAGCTTCCTCTCTTGTTCCAACGATTTCCTCCAGAAAAGAGATTAAAGTCAGGGAGCATAACATCTCCTCATAAGTGGACTGTCATTCCTCGTCCCGTGTACACACATGCACATTAATCAACACAGACTTTTTTTCCCAAGCAGAAAAACAAAAAAAGATAACCCTCCATTTTATGCATAAAAAAAAAATCTAATTTCATGGAAAATTTAATGGAAAGAAAACCCCTCCTCCACCCTTCTTTAATTAGCCCTTTAATCACTAAGTCTGAAAGGCATCCACGAGCCTCCAGTGATCCTGTCTGTTTGCTGGAGTGTAAATGTAAAGGTGCTCATTCCAGCTGATTTTCTCTGAAATGTCAACTGTTTGATTGCTAGACCATTTTTCATCATCCGTCTCTTCTGACTTTTAGGGAACAGAAAAGGGTGCAATGAGAGAAAATTACCTGTTGGGATGGAACAATGGAGCATTGTGATCTTTAAAATGGCTTTATTTATACATAAAATGAAATGTTACTTGATAATGACACGATGTATGGAAAGATAAATTCATATCATGTTTTTTTTATAAAGCAAAGTAAACAAGAAGGAAAGTTTTGGAAGTTTAGGAGAACAGATGTCAGTTGTTTCTTTGTTGTCTTTTTCGATTATTCTTTCATCAGCAGACCTGCTATCTTTAACATTTCCTGGTTAATTGATTGCATATCTGCTTCTTTCCCTCTTGTAATTCTCTTGTTTTTGTTATCATCCAGCATGGGGAAGCAAACCTCAGACAAACAAGAAACACTGTTACTGAATGCAAATGCATCCAGTAATAGTGTTTTTGTACAGAGCATTGCTATGCAGAACAGGAAAATCTTTAAACATGTGGTTTATTTTATTGGAAATGTAAAGGATTCTGGTTCTAAAGAGTTGAGATGTTTTATTATGATTATAAAAAGCTAAACTTCTGATTGCAATAGCAAAGAGTGTTGCATTTAAATTAGAATGTGTGTTTCCTTTTTTTTCACCCACAGTTTATAATCAGAGAAATGTGTCCTACAAACCATTACTGCATAATGTCTCATTATAAACTTTGAATAAGCTCAGGATGGTCAATTTTAAACACATTTTTCAACTCTGGAACAATGTGTGGGGGAAAAAAATGGCTGATTTGTTTTTGTTTGGTGAATTCCTGTCCTGAATCTGCTGTGGATCTCCCAGCTTCTGCTCTAATGTAGTTTGGAACTTGGTTCTTTTACCATTTATTCCTCTTTGTTCAGTGTCAACCAACGACAGCTATTTAACAACACACATTTCACCCAAGTTATTAAAGTTGCTTTTATTTTAAAGGCAAACTTCAATGTTTTTTCACTCTCCAAAGGTGTAACCAGCCGTTCTAATGATCACAAGCTGCCCGTTCACAATCCTAACCCTCTAAGTTAAATGGCTCTTGAGATTTTTTTTAACTTTCACTTTTATTTTAGGAGATTTAGTTCAAGTCATAAATTACATGGCACATGTCAGCCCCCGACAGACGACAATGATGCACTATTTAAAGCGCGCGATCCTGCTGGAGGAAAAGTTTAGTGAATGGGACGTGATTAGGAGGC